CTGCAGCCCGGGGTCAACAAATTTTCTCTCCGCATGTTCGGCAGCCAGAAGGCGGTGGAGAAGGAGCAGGAAAGGGTTAAAACTGCAGGCTTCTGGATTATCCACCCGTACAGTGACTTCAGGTGAGGGCTCCCTGTCGCCGCCCCACCCTGCTCCCACCCAGGCGCGCCCTCCAGCATCTTACCCCGCCCCTGGGAGGGGGCGCCCCTGGGACTCGCAGCGGGGTGTGGGGCAGGTGTGGCAGCGCTTCTGTGGCTCCTACTCAAACTGTCCAGACTCTACTCTTCAACTAGTTTTCATCCAGGAAAGGTTTGGGGTAGGGAGTTTCTTCTCCCCAGAGTGCTAAAAAGGCTTTCCTTTTGCCTGGTGAACTTTGGGAGATAGGCAGGGAGGGAAGAAGGCCACTATGACCCCTGGACGGGAGGTGGCTAAGTTGCACTAGGGAAACTTTTACTTAGGTAATGGGAGAGTTAGGATTAGGGCAGGCATCTTTGCTAGCGCTACTCCCCAAAGAGGAAAAGATGCTTCTGGGATTCCGGAGACGAGGAAACTGGAGACAGTGACTCACAGGTCCTAGCTGTTCCTGCCACTTTCGCCCCTGGGAGTGTTAATCTGTTGTTCTTATGCTTATAGGCACTCTTGTCACCATTGCATTTCTCCAGATCAGTGGCTGGCAGGCACAGGAAGGACACTTGTGCTTGGGTAGTGTGAGACTTGAGGTTTCAACGGAGCCAGTGCTGCCCGACTGGGCAGGAGCGTGACAGGAAGCTTCGAGTTCCCGAAACAGAGACAGGGGGCGTTTCTAGAGCCCCCTTCCTGAAATAGAGCGACACCCGCTCTTGACCTTGACTACAAATCCATTTCAGAAACGTCTTTCCAGTTTCCCAGCCTTGGAGGAAGGGCGGCAGCGCTGTCAGCAGGAGAAAATTAATATGAGTTTCCTGATCTTATTTGTAGCTCGAGTATCCATTCGGTTAATAAGCACGTTTAGAAGCTGACAAATGAAGGTCGTAAAGTAGATCCTCTTATTAGCCTGACAAGCTGCTCCTGAACACAAGCAGAGCTTCCTTCTAAAAATCCCAAACTAGTAACTCTTGGTGATACACTTTTTGTTTGGTTGTTTTTCTTCCGAACGAGATGGAAAAACACAACAACGAAAGGAGTATGTGTGCACACTGAGCGTTTAGGCTCCGGGTAAACCGCAAGCAAACATAGCAACAAAAAGCATTACTTTGAGCAGTGTTCAGAAACTAACCCAAATTGCCCTTAAGTGCAGACAGGGGAGGGAGCTGTCCACAGTTCTGAATCAAGTTAACTGTGGAATACAGCCCAACAAAGCTTGGGGAGACTGTCCATCTCCCTGAGATGTTTATCGCCTCAGAAATCAGCTGTCTTTCTTCTTGTGCACAGAGTGGATGTATTTTAGGAAATATTTAATTTTAAAATGCTTATTTGCAAAAACACATAGGAAATCCTATCGAAGGACTTTCAATAGCTAATGGCATTTATTGTTTGTTATCATTGAATTCAAATGAAAGAATGTTCAGGCTAAAAGAACCTCCCGAGTAATCAAATATGCTTCATCCGTGAGGAAGATACTTGGAAAGGCAAACTCATGGTCTTCCTCCATCTAAGGCAAATTAGGTTGTTACACTCTTTAGAATTTTAAAAGTAGGAATCAGGTTTGAATATCATCTCTTTTTGAGCCCTCCATGGGAATACAATCCAAAAGATAGTATAAATTTCAAAAAAAAGACTTGGCAAGAAAACATTCTACAGTTTTAATAAAAATGAGAGCTATGTTTCAAAAAATCTATGACATTCAATGACAACATGCAAAAAAGTGCTATACTTTGTTTACTTGATATCATTTAATTAAATGAATCCAAAGGATACTTTTACATTCATCAATAGGAAAATGATGGTGTTTTTAAAAATAGTAGCATACATCAAATGATTGAAGTCCCCCTCCCATTTATTTTTCTAAAAGTATATAGCATATATAGCAACTTTTTGTAAATCAGAACCATATGTCCAATCTGTGGATCAATGAAACTAAAGGATTCCATATATTTTCCTAAGAAAATCCCATGAAACAAAAGCAAACGCTGAATGAATGTGGGAAGTGAAACCAGGTAATGATCCAGTTTCATTCTGCACTTCACAGAAGTGACTAAGAAGCGAGCTATGTACTGACAAACTCTGTACAGTTTAGGGGATTTGATTGCCCTTGCATAAATGGAAACATGGCATCAATAAGCTAAATAATTAAAAATTTTAGATACAAGGTATCTGAAAAATTGAACTGAAGAATTACAATATACCCTTTTCCCCTAAAACTGACAAAGGGGGCCATCCTTTATTTGTTATACCTATTTGAACTTAGAAGACATTATTAATTAGTAGTTTTGCATAATCACAATACGAAATACAAGCACTCCCAAACCTATGACATGCCAAGAAAATGTAGTTGTTAAACCCATCATCAACACCTGACAAATTTCCAGCAACATTTTTCTCTACAGTGAAATCAATATTCAAGTGGCCTTAAGTGGATGCTGGAAAATTTTATGTTTTTGATTTGCTCATCTCAGACCTTTCCTGAGGAAGTACTTTGAGGGAAGTGTTTTTTTTCCTGAAATTGCTAAATCGTCAAACTTAAGTTGATTAATCTGCTAACAGAGAAAGTAACATATTAGACGACATTTACACAGAAGTGAGTTGGTTTTGGAAAGTCCACAAAGCAAAGTGGCTTCTTCCCTTAACACCTTCATACTATCCCTGAGACTAGGAGAGTTCCCTCTGCATTTGTTGCCCATCCCCACATGGCTGAGTGTAGTGTGACACTTTTCTCTAGAACATGCCATGGTTTGGTGTTGTGCCTAATATTCTGGTGGCTATCTCAGGATGACTTCTCAGTCTAGATCCCTTTTCACTTCCTTCTGAAGTGATGGCTGTGCTCCTGCTGTCAGATTCAGACAGCTAGCTAGTGCCTCTTTTGCTCACTAGAGTCTGAGTGTGCTACTTTTGTGTCTGGCAGGTAGCAGTCTTCCACTTTCAGTGTAATTAGGGCAGAGGCTCTGTGTTTCCCTTTCTTTTTCAGGAGAGGATGATGGTAGGAACCTTCAGAGAGTAAAGAAGGACCCAGTCATATCAATACTCTAAGAAACCATGGGGAAGAAGCTAGGAAAAAAAATTATATATATATGTATATATAATATTTATATTTATATTTATATATATATTACTTCATCAAAACTGGAGAAAATATTGGCAGGTACTTATGGGAAATTTGAAATTTAAGGTTTGTGTGTGTGTATGTGTTGCCCTTCTCCCCTCCCGTGTGTGTGTGTGTGTGTGTGTGTGTGTGTGTGTGTGTGTAGGTGTGTTTGTCTATGGAGGCCAGATTGGATGTCTTCTTCAATTACTCTCCGCATTGTGATAAAGATCTTAAAAATAATTCACACAGGTGTGGTTATGTGCATTGAAGGCATGGTCACAGCCTTTTGAAATTTTGTGTTAGCAACATGCATTTAATTTCAAGGTTAAGTATTAAGATTTTGAGAGAAGCAGTAGTGTTTATACATTTACAAAAGTTAAAGTTATAATTTTTACCAATTTAATAATTATGTGAGGATAGGTAAGTGTTGTGATCTCTCAGCCATTTGCTAGTTATGATATAATTATTCAAATACAATGAAAGAATATTTAGAATGCTTTTGTTAGTGTGTGTGTGTGTGTGTGTGTGTGTGTGTGTTGTATTTTGACTTCTGCTCTTCATTATTAGCATAGGAAACCATGTACAAAGCCCACTGTACTTTAAATACGAAAGATAAGATGTCACTTTCTGTGACAGACAGCACCTCTGTCCTTCTGTGTCTACCTCATAGTGCATATCACTACTGATGTCAGAGGTCACTGACATACTCTTTAGGGAAGGAGGATTTAGTCCCATTCCCCAGTTCGTCAGAATGAGACCATTTATTTCTGGGAGCTCTTCACAAGAAAATAGTTCAACCTTCTGGAGTTTAAGTTCTAATTAGCTTACTCTTGAAATGTGTTTAAGCTGGATGCACTCTGCATTCTCTCAGTGATGTGTTTGTTTTCCCATATCAACAGAGCCAGAATAAATCAGAAAGATTTTTTTTCTATGTTAGGCGAATCTTTATACCTTTAGATTTAATTAGTTTTTTTTAAAAAAAATACAGATTGTTAGTGGTAAGCCCAATTAAAAAATATTTAAAATGCTTTAAGATATGGATTTGTTAGGTTACATTTTTCCTATATTTCATGATTTTAAGTTTTGCTTAATGCTTGGAAATTAAATACTGTATAATAAATATTGTAGAGATATATACATTTTCATTATTGTAAGTCAAATATCATAAGACAATTTTCATTTTTCCTGAATGAAGTTAATAATGCTCTTGAAGACTTGCTATAAACTGGGAATCAGTAGATATGTACACTATACCAATCATATTTGCTATCTGCAAACTTGTTTTAGTTAAATAATAACAAAATTTACATATGCTACAAAGACATTGTTTATTAATTTCATTATATGTTCAGTTAACTGTACTGAATTCAACTGTATCTGCCTTAACCAAATCTACAAACCAAGACATGTCACCAATGGGATATAGCTTAAGTGGGATCTATAATTCATCATATTTTCACTCAGTGAATCTATCTCCCATTGTGAGCATGACACTAGCAAAATGTACTTTATGTAAGTGGCATGAGCTCTCCCCCCAACCCACCCATTCAGAGTAGGCTTTTCATGTTTCTCAGATAATTCATCTCATAACCTAGCAATAGATAGTGGACTTAGCATGTAGCCTTTCAAATACAGTCCTTTCTAAGTACAATGTTAGCATTAAATGTATGCATTAACACAAGGAAGTATATACATTAGGACTGCATGAAGACTATAAAATATTTTCAGGGTCTGTGATAAAGTTTTTGCTTTTATTTGTGTAAATGCATACTGGACTATGAATTATCCTGGTACCATATTTTAGGAGAAGAGACAGGGCAGTAGTATTGAAAGAAAAAGTCTTCATAGCAGACAAAAAAGACATTTTCACATAAACTAATTGTCTTAACTAAAAACCTTTCT